ATATATATATATATATATATTATTGTTCAAAGTATAGATACAGTTAACTCGGGAATTTGATCAAAATACTTATGTAATTTATTTACCTTTAACTTGATTTAGGAGTAGAAGAATCACTGTATTTTAAATACAACTAAAAGTTGAGACAAAATGTGCAATGAAAATTATTATAATTTATTTAAAATAATAGGTTTAACCACAGATTACATAGATATAGATCAAACAGTATGCTTTTATCAGGCCATGGGATTTATAATCACCTATTGCTCTGAGCAGTTTTTCTTAAGGTTAATCATTAATTAATGATACAAACTTTCTATTTTTAAGTTGACCATGGAAAAGAAAGTCATTTTTCATCGTGACATCTCAACTGTATTTTAAATTTTAAATGCAAATTATATGATATAGTTTGTTTATTTTAACTAGGCCATGCAGAAGGAGGATCACCTTTTCCACCCAGCAACTCAGCTGGTAGTCTTTCTTTGTCCAGTCCTGCACCTGGTGGCTGGCCAGGAAGTCCATCTGTCCCTCGTCCTTCTCCACGACCATTAGGAGCTGCCCAGAGTCCAGGCAGCAGTGGTCATCCTGCATTACATAGCCCTCAAGCTGCTGGCACTGAACACACTAAACAAAGTAAATAAAAGCAGTTTTAATAAAGTAAATATCTTAGTATTTATAAGTAGTACGTGTAACTTTAGAAATGTTTTTTTCTTATGTTACTGTCCAGAAAAATAGAAATATCTTGTTATAACTGTAAAACCCAACAAGATAATAAAATGAAAATGTCTTGTTCTAACACAAAAATCCAACTGATATATCTCGCCATAACACTAAAACTGAGCTAAACAGTAAAGTGGAAATATCTGGTTTCATCTCTAAAGCCAAAGTAACCAGTACAAGGAGTGTGCCTTTTGGCAGTTGTAATAACAAAATAATAAATAAAAATAACTTGCTAAATCTAACTAATCAGTAAGATTAATTTCACTTAATTTATATAACCTTTAAGGTGAAGATATTTATTTTGGTCTGTTTTTTCTAAATATCTTCATCAAGCATGATATTACTTTTCATGGATTGGCAAATAGGAAGTTTTGTTTCTAAGTCCTTATTTTATTATCTCTAGCTGGAATCTCACACACAAGCTCTCGAGTACTTCCTCACCGTTCATGGGCTGCTGCTGTCCCAACAGTTTTATCACACAAGGCATTTGATCTATTATGTAGTCCAGTTGCTCCTCCCCAGGGGGCACCACCATGCCACTACTCCCCATTAGAACGTTTTCTTGGATGTGTGTTCATGAGATATAATCTTCAAAGAGCAATTCAAAAAGATGACAGTGTAAGTTCCAGACCACTGAGTCTGTCTTTGTATGTAATTGTTTTTTTTATCTGCATTGAATAGCTTCATAACACAGTTTTTTTACCATGTGATACTGTTATATACTGTAGAAATGTAATTTTTAGGAAGATTTAACTCTACTTCTTTCTTATTTAGAATGACACATTACTGTATATCAGAAATGAGAATTTCTCTTGAAAAACTATGATATCTTTATTTTTTCATGAATTTGCCTCATAGAATGATTTATTTGATTATTCTTGTGAACAGCAGTGAGTTACCTAGCATATTTCTTTGTATACCATAACTTCATAATTAACAAAATTATGATGGCATACTGTTCTATACTTTAGCTATGAAGTTTGTATATTGTATATTAGAACATTGTGTTTTTGTATGTGATAACTTTGTAGCTAGTATATCCAAGATAATATGTTGCACATACACTTCAATGATCTGTTTTCTTCCACCACATCTATTAACTCTCTCTACAGCTGGATCAAAGACCATTATAAGGTTACATTCAAAATTTAATTAAACCACTTAATTTTCGGTGTACGTTAATTTGGCATGAAAATGTAGTTTATAGTTTAAATTTGTACATTATCTGAGTGTTAAATTCTTAATTTTAAAAAGAAGTATCAAATTATTAATCTTATTTTTCTGTGTCATGTGATGAGCCTGAGTGCTGACTTCTTTCCTTCAGAGTTTTGTCACACTAAATATAGTTTGCTGCAGTTTCTAACCAATTAGGGGCACAAACTATACATAATTACAAGAAAGAATTCAAAATTTGCACCCACTGCATTCTTGATTTTCTGAGATATCTATATATATGTGAAACTACAATTAAAGTCCCTCCTCTCTCACTCTGACATTTGACTTTGATTGCTAACCAACTTTACATGGCTGATGGACATTTTTATAACAAGTAGAAAGAGTAGGATCTCTTCTACAGGAAGATAGTTACCAGTGTTTTAATTTTGGTACCTGCATTATTCCCTTAACCAAAATCTTTAGCTGTGAGATCATTATAATGTTACTCTGAACAGTTAATGGAATTTTTGAAACTTGTTTTAGCTTACTTAGAAAGCCAGGTACATATTGTAGTTTTAGGACATTCCATTTTGTATTCTAAATTTTATATTTGAAAAGTGACACAAATTGTTTTTTGTCCACCCAAATTTGTGAGACTTACAGAAGAAACTTTTCTCAAAGCAAACTGCCTCTAGTGTCAGTGAATACCACGGACCCTTTTTTGTTATGTATGTATCTTATTTATTGTTTTTTTAACAGAAGTAACTAAAATATAAAAATTATCAACTTTTTCAGCTTAGCATAACATACACTAGTTCAAACCTGTGTATGTAGACACCTGACTGTCACGTGGTGTTTACTTTAACTCTGCAAGAAACAGTTAATAGGCTTCCACTGTGATTTATTACTACACAGCAGCTAATACTTTAGTTAGTGTAATTATAAAAGACAAAAAAAGCCATAAAATTAAAACAGAAAATGTTAGCAGTTGAAACTGTAACTTTATTTGTGATCATTACTATAGTCAGTGAAAAAGAAGAAATTGTACTGTTTATTGTATTTTATACTTTTCAAGTTTTAATTTCACTGTACGTTGATGATTTCAGTATTTAGTGAAAATGCAGTTAGTATTATGGTAGTGAAAATAAAAGATAAAGTTTTACCAAAAATAACTGTTGATATTTATTTAGGTTACACAAATGAAATATAAACTGTAAAATTAAAAAGAATTTTGCAGACAAATCTATAGTAAAAATATTTTATTAAGATACCTGATTTTTTTGTGTGTACAAAAGAATTAATGTTTAGTGAAGATACACATAGCAACTTCTGAGTTAGAATATGTATATCTTTAAAGAAATGGGCTTGGACCAGTGGACCAACACTGCTTTAAAGTGTTATTTCAGTTTTCAGCTTACCCAAAAATCATGATTTTCTCATTAATTATGGAAGTTCCCACCTACATGCTTATTAAGAAATTTAGCAAACAGATGCTGCTTGAACCCTCATTCACACCTTAACAATGGATATGTCATTCACAACTTAACACTGGATCCATCTGAGTTACATTACTTACATCGTTTAAATTTTTTTACTTTTTGCATGTATGTCTTCAAATACCTCTAGCCATTACTTGCTTTATTTTAATAAACAGTTTTTATAATTTTATTAGGAATTACTTCATTTATTGGTAGTCTTTGTGATCTGTATGATTATTTCTCTCAGGTTTTTTTTAACATGATGCTAATAGTCCATCATTTTTTATTTTTTGTTTAAGTACAACATGAAGTCATCCTAAAGTCCACTTTTTAGACTTTGAATGCTAGCTATATATAGTTTTGTTTGTGAACTCACTTAAGTAATTATTCAGACCACATCATGCTGTAAATATGTGATGTCACTGTATACTGACAGGAATATAAAACAAAGTTCTGAGTATTGCAAAATTCATTAGTTCATGTTCAGCTATTTGTCATTGATACTTGATAAAAGAGTTAGCATAAAGGATCACATATAAAATGTAATAAACTTAAAATAAGACCCAAGTCATTGATACTCATGCTGTACAGTAGAGATTAAAATCCTGTGCCTGATTCCTAATTATTTGTTTCTTCTCTAGTTTCTTGAAGATTGCTCTGGTGCTTTAGGAGCTTCATAAACCAGTTTTATCATTTTTCTCTTGACCTTCAATTGACCTTGCTGTACTTTTGGAAGCTTTCATCTCTGTTGCTTTGTAACAAAAATATGACATTTCTCTCTGGTGGTTCATTCTTTTGGTTTCTTTTTCTCAAGAAACATGTTGGAGTTTTCTACATTTTCCACTATTTTTAGAGAGGTTGCATCACATGGATCCTGGTTTTTCTTTTCGTTGGTTTTAAGCTGTATGATCTGACAAATACCACTAGCTTGAAATGTAATCCTCTTAAAATAAAAATATAATAAAACCTGGTGATTGTTTAAGATATTCTTTAATTACAATATCTTTGTTGCCTGTGCAATTAGCTATATATATTTATTTTCTCTTTCCTTCACCTTCCATGAGGAGTAGACTTCCTGTCACTTTCTTGACAAATAGGCTTTCTATTTGTTTTTTTTCTTTTTTGATGTCTTGGCATACATGTTAATGATGTCTTTTTGCTCAGGTCTTGTTCCTGAGTCCTGTGCTTCTACTATACCACTATAGCAATATATATGCATATATTAGTATTGCATATACAAACTATGCTGTTTTAGAATAGTATTACTTTTTCTCTATGTGAGATATATACTTTACTGATTACTCAGATTTGGTTGGTTTAGAGTTAAGAATAATTATTTGTTAACTAATCCAGTTCCTGCCTAAAAGTTACTTGCTGGCTATAATTTGTTTGTTTTTGTCAATAAAGCTTTCAGTATGTTGCAAGAACTTTTTTTGTTTCACACTTGGATGAAATACTGCGGTTAGTGGATCAGCTGAAGCAGTTAATGAAGTGTTTGCAGCAGCTTATTGCATAATTTGATGTTATTTTGGGAAGAAAATTTGATAAATGCTTTTTTTTCTGCTTATCTCTTTTTTTTTTTGAGCATATGAAACAATCAATTGAACTTACAGGTGGACTGAACATTCTGATTATTGCTTTTTTACCTCCACTGTGGTGAGTGTTCTTTCTACTTTTATGAAATGGGAGAGAAATATATAAGTTAGTAATTCTTTATGTTCACCCATTTAGCTGACCTCTGTACAGTCCAGTGAGCCAGGAGTTCTGCAGTTTAATGTTGAAACAATGCACTGTAAAGTTATTCTCAACACCATTACTCTCCAATCGCTGAATCTAAAGCTAGTAGCAGCACCTGAATACAAGGACCAATGGAATCCAGAGGAGTTACAAGTCTTAGAAAGGTTCTTTGATACAAAGGTAGGAATGTGAACAGTATATTATTTATTACTAATTGGTGTCTAAGTTAATTTGGGAAATTAGAAAACAAAATCACTCATAAGTTTGTTTGATGTTAGCAAAATAATATTTCTGCTTATTAGGCTAGTAATAATTTATTGTATGGATGATTAAATCTATATGAGTGTAATGTTTTCTAGCACTTTAGTTAAAATCACTAGTATTTAAGAACTTTATAAATGTTATATAGCTCAAGTTAATTTGTCTTTCTACTTTGTGTAATATTCAAGTTTATCATTACATTTTTTCTTGCAGTTATTTGTAGTTATAGTTTTTATTTAAAAAAATGTTAAGTGAACATGAATTTATTAAGATTTAAGTCAACTTTAAAGGTACCAATTAACCAAGACAACTGCTTCACATAGCTTTTTCAGTATTACCATGTACCAGTCTTTCATAAACAATGATTATATTGATTGTTCTCTTGTGTTAGTAATGTGGTTTATATTAAACCTATAATAGAAATTGGTTTGGTATTGTGCAGTTTTTATTGACTCAATTTACCTTACATTGAACCTCAGAGTTTGCGAGTATGCAGATTTTCTGCAAAATATTAGGGAATTATCATCCCCAAGGCACTTTTAGCTACATACAGTTAGTTACAATGATGGTTTGTATGTTCTTGAGCTTAAATTTTTTTGTATGATCGGAGCAAAACGATGATCTTTTTATAGTGTTACATTTAAAATATATAATTACACATCCTATTATTATCAATGTATGGCAATATATATCAACATGGATGGAAATGTAATTTATAATTAAAATATTTATGTTACCTAAGTGTTAATTTCTTAACTTCAAAATGAAATATTTAAAAAATCTCAAACTTCATTTTTCTGTGTCAGTTATGTGCTTCAGCTTCAAATTCTTCACTTCAGATATTTATAATTTCTAAGATAGGCTACTGAAATTTCCAACCAATAAGAAACTGAAACTATACATGATTACAAACAACAATCTAAAAGCTGAACCCTTTCCTTTCTTTATTTGTTGAAATATCAATATATTTGTCAAACCCACTCTCTCTGTGACTTTTGAGATTGTTTGCTAACCAACTTTACATGAATGATGGACATGTTTACAATGAGTTGAACGAGAAGATTTTGCTCTGTATGAAGCTTACAACTGTCCTTTTGAATTTTGCATTGAGAGTATTCACTTTATAGAAATGCTTTGTTGTGTAGTCATTTTTTTACTGCTCTGAGCAACTGGAGGAATTTATTTAACTTAATTATAGCTTTCTTAGAAAGCTGCATAAATTAGAAGTTTTGGAACATTCTGTCCTAGTGCTTGATATTTTGTTTGTGTTCTAAGTGATATATTTGAAAGTTACATTAATTTTTTGAACACCTCAATTTCTGAGACTCAACAAGGCTTAGGGTACAATGTCAGATATTTTTTACTTGAGTGCAAACAGCTTGAATATGCAGTAAGTACATAGAAATTCTTGTTTTTATGTTTATTGCTTTATTTATTGTCATATATTTTTTAACAAAAGTAACTAAAATTTAAAGATTATAAATTTGTTAGCTTAGTCTAACCAAACTTCAGTAAAAAAAAATGTCTAAAACTACACTAGTTTAAATACTGATGTAAAATATGAAATTAGATCACTTGCTGTTATATTAGCTTTATAGGAAACAGTTAGTGGACTCTCACTATAATTTATTATTTTTTTACACAAGTATCACTGTTCCAATGGTACAAAGAATGGGAATAAAACCATAAAAGTAAAAGAAAACAGACTTGAAAAAGGTTAACAGTTGAAGGTGTTAAGATATGTAGTTTAGAACTTTCTGATCAAAAATGTAGTCAGTGCAGAGGGAAACTAGTATTATTCGATGTATTTCATATTTTTCAACTTTTCATTTCACTGTACATTAATGATTTATCTACAGTTAATGTTAGGGTAGAGAAAATAAGAGATAAAATATAAAGTCTTACCAAAAGGGCCTGACATGGTCTGGTGGTTGGAGCACTTCACTCGCAATCTGAGGGTTGCAAGTTCAAATACTGTTACATGCTCGTCCTTTCAACTCTGGGGGCATTATAATATGACAGTTAATCCCACTATTTATTAATAAAAGTGTAGCCCAAAAGTTTGTGGTGAGTGGTGTTGACTAGCTGCCTTCTTTCTAGTCTATTACTGCTAAATTAGGAATGGCTAACACAGATAGCACTCATGTAGCTTTGCATGACATTCAAAACAAACCAAACTTATCCAAAAACTTTTGAAATTCATTTAAGAGGTCGAAAGGTTATGCAAATGTACTATGAAAAGAAGTATTTTTAATCTTAGTATCAAAATCACCTTTCTCTCCGACTGACTAAGTAAAGGCTTTGGAAGTTCATAGTCAAATTTTTAATAGAAACATGTCATTAAAAAAATCTCATTTTTTATGTGCAACAGTTTTGTAATATTTACTAAGAAAGAGCCTGCCAAATTTTGTTAAGGTACACTTGGTAATTTTAGAGTAATGATGTATATAGTTTCACAGTTCCAAAATTTGTCAAGTTTACCAACTTTATTTATTATATGATTAAGAGGATTCATTTCGAGAGAAATCATCCTCACTAACCCATTTAATTATATTATTTTTCTCAAAAGCTAATACTTTTCTTATTTCATTTATAAAGTTAACTTACTGTTGAAGTCTAAGATTTAGAAATATATATTTGGCACAGTAAAGCCCCATTAAAGTCATGTACTGTTTAAGCTTAGTTGCTATGGCTAAATGCTTTTCACCTGGCTTCATCACTTGTATACTGTTTTGTGTATGACATTATATGAATAATAAAAGAATCCTCTCAACAATCCAAAAATGTTGCTCAGAATCTTCAAGTAACTAATTATATGATTACAGATTTCACTTTCTGAGCACTGATTGCATGTTTCATATTTTGTTTTAAAGATTTTTAGATGTGCTGATTTACTAATTTTAGATTCAGTGAAAGGATATAAATATATCCCCACCATCTGCACGTATCCTCCACTTGAAGATTATATCCATTATATTAAAGTTCAACTATGGAACACAACATCTGTTGCAGCAACTAGTTTTGAAAAGAATTTATTATTTTTCCCCATTTTATTAAGGAAGTGTGAATTTCAGTGTTATGTGTTCTTGCAGGTTGTTGGTATACCGTATAAACCGAATGCCTTTATAGCTTTTGGTCGCATCCTGAATGCTTCTCTTAGGATATTGAAAGACTGCATAAATATAATGCGGCTTGAACTGGTAAGTTGAAACTGTGTTTGTTTGTATACGCTCAGGAAATAATGTGATTTACTATATTTAAAATCACTAATGAGCTATTTGAAAAACTGTTTATGTATATTTATTACTTGTCATTGTTTACAGTTTTATGTGAATTTAGTATTTAAATCTCAAATCTTTAAGATGTTTCTGATTGCCATTAGAAACAAACCATTAATAGGATCACAGATTAAATATTTATTGTATATTTAATAACTATTGAATAGTTATCCAACCATACTTGGTATTTGAAAGTGGGTATTCTGGCTGAATGAAATATGGGTCAAACAAGGTCACTGTTAACAAGGTTGATCAGTTATGAGTTTATAAAGTATTATTAGGATAACGCCCAAAAATAGCCCTTTGCTGTGGTAGCAGTTTTTAGAACAGAATGTTGATGATTTCATGGTAGAATCCTTTGTTTTGTGACATCTTATTCATTCAGATTGTTTGTGCAACATTCTTAGGCTTAGTGTTACAATTTTTTTAAATTATTGGTCTTGCTATACATACATATGACAAACATTTTACAGGCATCTAGTATTCAAAACTTGTTTGAGATAAATCTTGTGCAAGTGAAAGCATATATTATCATGGCTAAACAGCAGTATACAGCTGCAGAAGTAAAGCAGTCAGTGTCAGAGAGGTCCCAAGATTTATCCCCAAATCCTCTGCAAAAAACATATTATCGTAAGGAAAGTATGTGATAGTCACATGTTTTTCATGTGAATTACACAACATGTAACCACTAAAAAAAAACAATATATGCATAACCAAGACAAATATATATGTATATATATGTGGAGAAATAGTGAGAGAAAGTATATGCCATAGATTGAACAGCATAACACACACAGACAAACAGAAATCATGCTATAAGTTCTGTAGCACAACACAACAAAAAGGTTAAATTAACTACTAATTGTTCTGATAAGAGTAGGTAGCTTTTTTGAATTGCAAGTTTGTGATAATATATTTTTATGCAGCTTAGAGTGTATAGGTGTTTCTTTTCTGTTAATTATAAAAAATTCATATTCTGCAATAGTTATAAAAAAAAAATGGTCAAAGTATCAATACTTATTTTTCAAGTTAAAACTGTTGTAGTTCAGTGTTCTTTTTTTAAATACATATTTTTGTATGCTGAAGTGAGTTTGGAAGAGCTTGTGTTTGGCATGCTTTTAAATGTGGCTATAATGATACCTAATATATGTGTGATTTATAAAGATGGGTTAACGTATCTGAAGACATGATGATGGCTGCTACATATTATTATGTAACTACAATGGTAATTCAAGTATTATGGTGATGTATAGATTCAATGACAATTATTTTATTGTTATAATGCTACGTATTATTATATAACTGTAATGATAATTTAAGTGTTATGGTTATATATATATATTTACAGTTACAGATTGTTGCATTATTCTAATATTACTGTATTTGATTGAACAACTATGGTTATTATCTAACATGTGATGATGTGTATAAAATTTATGTGAATAATGTTGACTTAATAATCACGTGTGGATAATGATACATGCAAATTATTTTATGATTTTAATTATTACAAGAATAATCAAAAAGTTATGACTTTGTGTGCTTTCCTTTGTAAATATAACCAAACAACCTAAACTGATTGTTTGTAATATTTCATAATTTTTGGTTGGTTATAAGTACCTTTTGATTGATATTTTGTAACAGTACTTATAAATTGTTATAAAACTGGTGTTGGCTAGAACTACAACTCATTAATCTCTATATTTCTTGTCAAAAATGGAGCATTTAATTTTATGATGATTTAAAATGCAGCTAATAGTGATCACATGACTATAGTTATGTACGAATAGTGTGATTGAAAAGAATGTAGATTTTTATAGTGGCTTCTGTGCTTGCAAAATGGTCCATCTTGATACTATAAAGCATCATCTTCCAACAGGCACCAGACAGGAATCTCAAGTGGGCCGTTCAGTTCTGTTTAACAATACCTCCAGCAGCACCCCCTATTGCTTTAACTGGAATGTCGGCAGTCCTTATGGTCCAAAACAAGATTCTGCTCTTTGTAAGTTTATAGTAAAAGTTTTGACAAATCCTAGTTAAAAGAACTAAAGTTGTTAATTTCATGTTCAGTTTTATTAAAGTGTAATAAATAACTGTCTTATTTCATTTCCTAACAGTTTCAACTTACAAGAATTGGGCTGAACCTGGCTCCTGGTGTTGAACCCCAGACAGTTGTAGTTCCCATTCTCTATGACATCAACAATAACGTAACCCAGCTGTGGGACAGACGAGGTCATTCTTCCTTGTCCCCTACAGACCCTCTTTCAGTCATCGGCAACATGTTGCGTCGTTTTAATGAGTACAATCCTCCACAAGGTTTGGATAACTAGTTGTTTTTATTATGATTAGTTTTGTTGTAATTTCTGATCTCCAGAAATATTTACTTGTAAGCATATCTCAAAAGAAATGTATGGATTTCTTGCATAGTGGTTCTCAAACTTTGATTGTGGACACCAGTATTTGTTTATTTATCTCAGTGGACCACAATGGGATCTATACACACTACTTTCTTGCACTAATTGTGCAACCTTTCCATGGACCACCTGAATGGATCCCACAGACCACAGATTGAGAATTACTGTTTTAGTAAAACACTCAGATTTCATACTATTATTTTTTCAGTGAAATATGTTCTAATAAACTACTGTAAAAATACTCCTAATCGATAATTTTATACAGCAGTTTTCTCAAATACCATATTGGCCCGATTATAAGGCGATGTTTTTTGATTAATATATAAGCTGTATAATTCATAGTGGCCTTATAATCACAGCCGACAACAGGGCCCTTCCCCCGTACTCTGTGATGTAGCATTCCTGAATGTCCAGGTTGCATCTTTCTTTGAATGCGCACCAGATGTTCACTCAAGGTCATCGCTAATTCTTGCAACTAATCCACCTGAAGGCTCTTCAGTTATAGTTTTGTTTTTGTGGACCTAAAAAAAGGGACATTATGACACTCAATTTTTTTCTTTCCCATGGTATCTGAAAATGGGGTCACCTTATATTCGGGCCAATACGGTAATCTGTTAATAATTTTTGAGTACATTTCTTTATGAACTTGTTATTACTATTTTGAAATTTCAAGAATTTACTTTTTCCTCCCAGGTGAATGCAGTATTTACCCTGCTGTTCGTGAACTGCTCACTAACCTTGTAATACCAATATGATGTGTTCCTGAGCATGTTGGCAAGACATGGCATCACTAGTTGGAAGTCCTGATTAACTTAGCACCATCTCAACACTTGGTTGATTATGGATATATCAGCTTGAATTTGTAGACAATTAAAAACTATTATTTGTAGATAGAAGTATTAATTTGAATTCATGAGGACCCTAGCCCGACATTTATAATGAAAGTACTGTTAAATTTGTGAAACCTTTCAAAAAATGTCAAGCAAACACAAGAACATGAACTTTGATTGTGTATATGAAAAATTTTGGTTGTCATAGAAATAATTTGAACTGTTAAACTATATAAAAACTGATGATCATTAGAAGGAGTTTCAATCTAAACTCCCAGTTATCCAAGGACCATTTATTAACATCAGTAACCACTATGAAAATATCATTATCATAATTCTTAGCTCTCTTTGATCGTGTGAGAAGTGGTCTGACTTCGTAAAATATTGTGACCATGCTGATTATTTAAGATGTATTGGTTAGCCAGGATATACCTGCAACAGTGTTAGATATTGTGAAATTTCGAGCTCATTGTGTAGTTTCTGGTAATGCAGTTGATTTCAATAGAGGTTATATTTTCACCAACTTTGGAGATCTGTGAAGTAAAATATTAAGGTCATTTCATAGCATATCTGTATTCAAAATTACTGGAGTTTCATAAAAATCTATCCTGAGAAGTTTTGTACATGTAGCATTTCTACTGCAACACGTAATTTATACGTTATCTTTTTTAACTCTGAAGTGTAATTTGTAAATCATTAAATTTTATTGGGAATGAACTTTTTTTGCTTTATTACTTTATTTTTCTGCAGAAGTTAGAAAATATAGATATACTGTATTGAATCCTGATTAGATCATGTCAGACAGATGTATTAAATCTCAGTTTAATCTTGCTACGCAATAAGTGTCAAACATGTATTGAATCCTTGTTACATTGCACTACATAATTACACCATATCAAAAAAGATGTATTGAATTCTTGTTACATCGTGTTATATAAATAGTGTCAAATAGATGTATTAAATCACAAACATTTTGTTATGTGACTAGTATCAAACAGGTGTAAAGAATCTTATTTTAATACATCTTGTTATGCAGTTAGTGTCAAATAGGTGTATTGGATCTTAGTTACATCATTTTACACTAGTTATAGTATGTGAAAGAGATTTATGTAGGATTAATTATACTTTATGAGAACAATTTCATATGCTAATGTAAAGCAGTGGTGCATTACATCAGCTGCTTTACAGGATTGTTCAGTAACTAGAGCTAAGATACAACATATTTTAAGTCAAGCCTTCAGTGATCTCTATGGGAGTGGAAAAACTTTTAGAATGGTAACAGGTTTCAAAACCTAATTTAATCCAGAGCAAAGGTTGTGGTTTCAAAAGAGAACCAAGACATCCATTGAAATATAGCTTGGCATATCTTCTGGCATCTTTAACAAAAAAAAACAACAACAAAGATTTAATCTTTACTAAAGCTCACAAGCGTAGAGTCACACTTTCAAATCAACAGTTGTTCTCATGAAAAACAATGGTTGAAGGAACTGGAATAATGCCCATCTCATACAACCATATGCTTGTCAATTCCCTTAATGTAGCTCCAACTGACTTTTTGTGTGTTGGTCTTACTTACTCTTGATTCTAGAAGCGGGCATCCACGTGCAACGGAAACCCCAAGATTGACTTTGTGGTCCTTGTTAGAGTATTCTTACAATGCAAGTTGCAGTGGCAGACTTTAGTACATAATCATGGTCACTAGGTTGAGCACACATAAGGATGGGGAAGTAGTTTCAAAAGAAACAGGAACATGAAACATTATTCTTATGAAGTGTAATTAACCCTCATCACTCTATTAAATCCCAGTTATACAATGTGAAAGAGATATAAGGTAATGAATTTTGTTTAATCTTTCTGTACTGAACGTCAATGTTACCCTTGTTTGTGCTAATTTTTACATGTTAATAGAACATGTTAACGTGGTTTAAACTTCCATCTCAAGTCTTATATTCATGTTTGTTGATCAGTAACTTGTTAATTGTAAGTCATTACAGTATTCCATTATTTTATATCAGTGGTCCCAAGTAGGCGGTTTACAGAAGGCCCTCGAAAACCCGATTCATGGATCACACAATGATCAAGTATTTTAAAATTGTATTTGGGGAATGATGTGCTCCCCAAAAAGCTCAGGCTCTGACTCTTTGCATGTCATCATATGAAGTGGCTCAGTGTGGAAAATAATTGGGGACGACTGTTTTATCGGCTTTCTATAGTAGCATCAAGTTTGATCATTTCATTAAATATTCACTTTCTTTCGAAATACTTTGAAAAATATACTTTTGTATTATTAATTTAATAAAATAAAATATAATTATACAAATTTAGTGAATCCGTAAGTATTAATACTTTAGTTGATGACAAAACATTGAAACCGATTTTAATATTAAGCCTTTTTTTTTATCTACATAAAAAAACAAGTATATTTTAAACGATACTCAAATTTGTTAATCTTACGAGTTTTCTTAATGTAATGAACAATGTAGATATAAATGAATGTATTTTAGTACAAGTAAAATATTCTCTGCTGTTCACAAAGTTAAAAGGTTTGTATTGAACAAGGAAAATTTCGACTCTGCTGTGATCAGTTTACATTTACTGGTTTGTTTAATGTTATCAACACTATTTTTAAAGCTTGGTTAAGCAGAAACCCGTTTCTTGATACCTTTGTTGTCAGCACAGCTCGTGTTGTTTGACAGGTTGACTAGTTGGCAGCTGAATATAACGGTTAATTCGGGAAATGCCCTCGCATGCTTGTTGAAACAGTTAAGAGACGTGATGCCTAGTAGCTTTGCACTGATTCAAGAGGATGCGGTAAGACCCAACTATCACGGACATTTTAAATACTGAGTAGGCCTAACGCTAGGCCTCTTATTTCTACCACTTCAAAAGTTTTCCTGGTTCATCCACAACACTGGGACAATATGGCTATTAATGCAGTAAGTTGAAGTAGGACTAAAGTGTGAAAGGATTGCCCGCTATTTTGTGGTTTATCGCGGTTAAAAGTAAGACTTTACCCCTTTATAACTTTTGTATTTATGGCACGATACTAGGATAGAATATTGAAATAATCTAGAAGTACTGGAAGACCTTTTTTTAAAACAACATTAGCACAAAGAGTGGCACTAGATAAAGTTTGATCTTTCCCCTCTAGTCTAACAGCTCAAAATTATAGACTGCTTGCTAGCATAGATAGTCATTTTAGATATTTGCAAGAAAATGGTTTTAGCCTAGTTAGGTCAAAGAATTACAGCAAACCATTTTTTAAATCTCCTTCCTACGGTTACCAGACTTCAATACAATCCTGTAACAGCTTGGAGACTTATGCTTCCTAATTAAGTTTTATAACTTATTTTTGATTTTTGTTTTGAGCTAGTAGGTTGCCGATTAAAAAACGTACAAGTATTCATATTTTCGAAGATTGAAATGGGATTCGTACAAAATAGGAGAGTTAATGCATATATAAATCTAAATATGTTGCTTTCTGATGGAAAATTTTGTTAAAGTCGGCTAGTCAAAGCATCCACTGTCAACTCGTGGACTACTCTTGTCTGACCAAACAGGTTTGACTGTAACCCTTATAACGCGCACATGGCTCCAAGGTGCGGAGCGCATTTTTATTTTCGGTAACGGGACGCGAATGATGGACCTGGAGATCCATAGTCCGGCACGTTAACAACTGGACCACACTCATATATACACACAAATCATATCAAACTATAAATTATATTTCAAGATAAAATTTATTATTCTTTTCTTTTTACTCTTGATTTTAGGAATTTTATTTTGCATTTAAATAAAACGTGGGGAAAATAATATGAATTCGCTATTCGTTTGGTATTTCTTTAAAAGGATTAAGTAAATGTCAATAAAAACTGTATCGTTCTTAATAGCAGATTTTTAATATGTATTTTGACTTGTTAACTGTAGGCTAATTTTTGGAAACCAAATTCAATTACGAGGCCTTATATATTAATTATATGTTGTAACACAAGTTTTAGAGTATGCGAAGATACTCTGGCGGACCAGGCACGGTTATTAGCGTGTCGGAATGTTGAAGGCTTGAGCTGCAATATGCTGTTGAACATGCTTCGAGGTTTTAGTTGTGGGGGCGTTATAATAGAGACAGTTAATTTTGTTCTTCGGTTAGTAATGGTCACATAAACTGCTGGCTGGTTCCACCCTCTTTTTTTTTTAGTGATTCAAGATCAGGCATGGTTATACCCGAACCGTAGAAGGTCTTTTGATGTGGCCGTTTAATTAACTTACGAATGAATATAAGAACATTTACTATAATTAACTTTTCAAGACACAAGTTGTTTTTGTTTTGCTTGAAGTTAAGCACAATGGGCTATCTGTGCTCTTTTCCCACCACGGTTTTTTTAAAACCCGGTTTCTAGCGTTGTAAGTGCACAAGTTAGTACAGTTTATGATATAGTTCAATAATTCAGCTTGATGGTTTGATGATTTCACTTCAAAGAAGTTGTATATAAATCCCGTCCCTTGTTTTTTTACAGTTGTCTTCAAATTACGAAAACTTTTACACTTCAGTGGAACTATTTGTGTTGTGATTCCGAACTAAATTTCTCATCTGTCTTTATTTTAATTTTAGCTGCGAAACTGAGGTACATCTTCAAAATTTAGTTTCTTGGCTTAGGAAGAATCTTATGTTATATTTAAATATATGATCTTACAGTTTCTCTTTCTATAAGCACAATTTCCAGGTCAATAAAGAGTGTGACATCGCAAAGGATGTCAAGCGATCGCGAGGTGGTCGCTTCTACTGAAAGTAAAATTCGTATAAAAACTTTTATCGATTTTTCCGCCTTAAGAAGTAGCCTACTCGCTAAAGCCGGGGTTTGATAACGTCAGAAAGCAGGTCCGGTGTCAGGCTCCATCCAGCATTTCCATGGCCCCATTAGTCGTTAGCAGTCTTAACACTATTTTTTATAACATGAAATATATTTTGTAAGATTAAAAATCAATCAAAGTACCTCCCATGTCATGTGTAACCTGTACCTGGAGTATGTGACGTTGCAAAGTATATTTCCGGGTCTGTATAGAAATATAATGTATTCTACATCTGAAGTAGGTAACGTTTGAAAGTAACTTTGTTTTTGTCTATATAGAATTTTTCACGAGTGGCATGTACCTGGAGTAAGTAACACTGGAAAGTACCTTTCCAGGTCTGTACAGAAATGTCATTCATAACCTGTGTTTGAAGGTAAAAAATATTGGAAAGTAACTCTGCCGTTATAAATGGGTATATCGTCTGTAGAGAATGATACTTAAAATGTAACACTCCCGAATGTTTCCAGTTGCTTTACCTATGTCGTCTTTACCTCAATGTTTATGCGAGAACCTTGTGAAGTATGGTTTTGATATTCTAGTTCACTGATATCCAGGGGATAAGGTTAAAAGCATCCGCAAAATGCAAAATCCGGAAATGTTACATAGAGAATACATCTAACACGGACAGCAAAGGAAACACACACACACACACACAAAAGAAAGAACTAAAACAAAGCTTTATTCGAAATTTTTTCCAAACCATACTTAAATTGTCCGGCTGTTGGGGTGAGAGTCAAAGTCAAGAATAATTTAAATCCTCATTAGTATAGGACAAAAGGAATTCTAATGTACTGCTCGAAATTCAACCAAAACTTTATAAAGTGCATCAAACAAGAATTTACAACTTATTACATTTTAAATTTCATAAATGACAATCTAAGTTATGAGACTCCACGACACCACACATTAATTATTGTATTGGTTTGCTTAACAAAGACAATGTGATAGAGCACGAAACGACATTTATGGGGGAAAAAACGCTCTTAACTCATATCAATTTGTACAAGTATCTGTCCCAGGTTATAATGTTACGGTCAATCCTACTATTCGTTGGTAAAAGAGTAGCCCAAGGGTTGGCGGTGGGTGGTGATGACTAGCTGCCTTCCCTCTAGCCTTACACTGCTAAATTAAGGACGACTGGCGCAGATATCCCTCGTGTAGCTTTGCGCGAAATCCAACAATAATGACTGTATCTTCTCATTTCATAAATTATTACATGTCATTTCGTGCTCAATCACACTGCCTGTGTTAGCAGTCTAATACATTCATTAATGGCTGGTGACCTGGAGTCTCAGAAGCTAGATCGTCATTTATGATATTTAAAATGTGATAATTATTTTAACTCATTATCCTAGTAAAGAGAGAGGAACTGAAGAGTAAAATTTAGTACATGAATATAGTTTATAAGTTTTTGTTATTTTTTCCCAGAAATTCGCTGAGATACGCGCTTGCCGTCTCTAATTTTGAATTGCTAGAAGGAAGGCAGTAAGTCAACACCCCCCCCCTCCCCCGGCTAACTCTTAGGCCACTCTAGTGGAATATTCGAATTTGACCTTCACTTTTATAACGCACCTACCACCCCAAAGAACGAAACGCATTTATACGATAACTCTCGAATTTATAGTCCGGCACACTAACTACTAGGCCACGCTTGGCCCAGTATTACGAGTACACGGAACGAACATCTTAAAGGCAAACGTTTTATTTCATTTCGTATACATCTTGTACCTTTCTGTAATATATGATGTAATGTCCCATTGTATGTCTACGTTTTACTTTCGGAGGTGAAAAAGAGTGAAGATTGTTATCACTCCGCCGCTGTATATCTAATTGCAGGTTGAAAAAGATAATGACAGCTAAGACTTCGTTAACTTGTAAATATGATAGTTTAAAGTTACACTTTTGTAATGATGCTTCTAACCATTTTCGTACAACAGGGTAACAAAAAAGTGAACAGTAATGAAAAGAAAAGATAAGGTGGTTGAAAACAAGAATCAAATTACTTTAAACTAGGGTGTACTTGTGGGTAATTCGGCTATATGATACATGTTTGGATCAACATATAGTAATAATGTCACGTAAGATTAGCGGAATATCGTGTGGTGACATTCTCCTGGCTCTTCGCCAATAATTATTATTTTTATTAATAAAAAAACCAGCAAGACAAGTAGCTTACTAAGGAGGCGAGCTAAGTGTCAAAAACATTTCTCAGAACGAAGAGAAAGTGCGTGATTACAACATTTTCTGAGGGAATATTTCCTATATTTTTATCAGTTAACGCTGGTTGCTGTTGTTAGTTTTATACGGAAACGCTGGTCAAAAAACCATTTGCACCCTGTTCACTGCGGAGGTATCGAACCCTAAATGTTTAACATCGTAAGTCCGAAAACGTTCCGCAGACCCAACAGGGGATCTCAATTAACGCACGCGTGTTAAATACGTATAATGTATTTTGTTACTTTGTGGAATGCCATGACGTACTATAGGATATAGTCTGTATTACCATGGCCTTTCCTTTATCTGCTCGACACCTGGCTTTAAGAGACACGTTAAGTGTTATAGATGTTGCATTAGATTAACTTGAACTTTTCACGGACAGCTAGCTATAGATTCTGCTATACGTCGTATGGAGATAGGCTTAGAAGGAGGTGTTTAAAGGATACAGATTGTTTAAGTGAGTGTGAAGTTAGTTAAGGGTAATTCTAAATGAAAATGTTTAGCATCAGTTAGTTTAAGCAGCAGTTCCTTTTCTTATTTCTTTAATTTATTATTCCCCTCTTAGTTTCTTTCCTGATCCGTATCCGTGGTAAGATATCCAATTTCAGTAATAAGATTAAACTCATTAACACTTAATACGTAGAGCATAATTAGTAAATCATTAGCGATTTAGTACAAACATATTTTTTCACAGAAATTAAGACCTATTAGTAAGAGTACAGTGACTTAGGAGTAAAGTGAAGAATCGAATTAAAACCAACTTAGTTGGCACTATTTCTAACAAAAATGGTAGCCTCTCCTTGACAGTATTCGTTATAACGATTGAAACTCCTTGAATTTTTATATACTGCAGAGTTCTGAATCGCTTAATTTATGTTTTATGCTTTTTAAACAAACATGGCATAGAGTTTCTTAATTTCATTTCCCTCTCTCACTCATCTCTTTTATCACTTCCGGATCCGTTAATCTTGGTTTAGTTGCAAGGTAAACACAAAGACTCAACCCTACAGTACCAGGAACGTTACATGTCATTTCTTTCCTCTTTTATTTCTGCTTATGTTAACATTACAATCAAGTATTGGTCATTAAAGTGCGCAATGCATCGTTTCTTTCTCAGTTTTATCGTCTGTATTACACAACTAAATATGCTTATTAAAGAGTGCATTAAATTGATACCTTTTTTGGCGTCGACCTTTGTGTTGAACAATTAAACTTTGTCATTAAAATAAGCAACGTGTCGCTTTTATAATTTTGTTTATGGTTGTATACAAATAACATACGTTCGTAACTGTTAGTGCAAAGTATTTCTCTTTTCATGTATTTTATTGTTTGTAGTTTAAAAAATAATAATTTGTTAATTTTGTGCTAATGCTATTTCATGTTTTTTTGCATTCTTTATTTTGATACAGTATCAGAAATACTGGTAAGTGTTAACTATTTTCCGCATATTTCCCTAAGGCATCGCCCCACGATGGCTCAGCGGTAAGCCTGAGGGCTTATAACACTAAAAACCAGGTTTCGATACACGCAATGGGCAGAACACAGATAACCCATTATGTACCTTTGCGCTTAACAACAAACAAACAAACCCTAAGGTACTGGTTTTGTTACACAACCACGTCATAGTACTACACCCCTTCTTATTGGTAACTCTTCTGAAAAACCGGAAAATCATTATCAGAATGCTATAAGATTTTCTCTGACCACCCTTTTTTCGTAAAAAAACTCTCCAGGATTATATATCATAAGAGTCCTTACGAGTTCCATGTTAGTCCCATGAATGTGGTCGTCATAACATCCACGTGTCACCTAAAGCTGACTCACATTAGGCATAGGAGCTGTCGTGGAAAAAAGAAAGGTAATTCGTAAATCATGAGTGTCTGATGTTTCGTGTTCCTATATTGTTGTTTGACCTAGTTTTCCATACGTTTCTTACTCATATGAACTGTTGACTGTTGTTGGAAAGCTGAAGAACATATTACTAATGAAAAGTACTTTTTAAAGGTTCGCCAGTTTTTCTTTTTACTATGAACCACAAACAAAGGGAGGGGGACCAGTTTCTTTCACAAACTCCTTAAGTTAAAAAAAAAGATGCCATATACAAAGGGAAGGGGAACCAGTATCTTTCGTAAACTCCTTATTGTACTAATGCTACTTGTAATACTTATGGATAAAGTGGCGTCATCTAGTAGTAATAAAGGATAATGTTTATTATAGATGCGTCACCAAATGGTATTGTTTATTGTGGATATGAAGCTAAGTTTCATCTTTTGCTGTAGATTTGACGGTATTTGGTATTCCTTATCGTATATGCAACGTTATTTGGTGGTTTTTACGATGGATGTGGCGCCAAGTAATAACGAATTTTGTGAATTTCACATTTAAGTGGGATAACTAGTTATGTTATATTGTTTATCGTGAATATGACACTAGATGAAACTGTCTATTTGTATAGTATTGACCGTTGTGTATATATTTTTGTGTTTGTAATTATGTTTCTTAAGTATGACTCCAAGTTGTTATGATTATCTTGGATTTGATTCTAAAGTATAATGTTTGTCTTGAATGTAATTCCAAGTAATAATGTTTGTCTTGAATGTAATTCCAAGTGATAATGTTTGTCTTGAATGTAATTCCAAGTAATAATGTTTGTCTTGAATGTAATTCCAAGTAATAATGTTTGTCTTGAATGTAATTCCAAGTAATAATGTTTGTCTCAAATGCAACTATAAGTGATATTATCGATCTTAAATGTGACTGTTATTAATAATGTTTACAGTGAATAGAACATGACTCTAAATGATTACGTGTATCTTCAATGTAACTAAAAGTGATGATTTTTATTTTGAATGTGACTCTGATTATATATTGGTGACTAAAAGTGATAATTTTTATATCCTGAACCTGGCTCCAAGTGATTATATTTATTTTGGATATGAATCTAAATGAAACTGTTTATTTTGAAGTGAACTTTGAATGAAATGTTTGCCATAGGTGCAAGTCCAAGTGATAATTTTCATTGTGAGTATATTTCCAAAACTCGGTGTTTATTTCATTGTAGAGACAGCAAAATGTCTGGTTGTCTAGTATACAGTGTAATAGTAGACAGCGATATATCAAAACATATAGAAGACCAGGTACAGTTCTAACGAAAGTGTTACAACCAAAATATGATAGATTTTAACTATTATTTATATAGTAATGTTATCACGTGTAAATAAAAAATATAATCAGAACTCAAATTAAACGTCATATTAAATGAACTGGGCTACTTTCTTAAATATTAAAGCAGGTGAAGTTTAAAAAGGAACCACTATAATCTTGCTTGAGTTTTGTGTTCAAAACTGTTTAGAAATAAATAACTGAAATAAAATAATATTCATACCAGGGATGCTGGCGCCAAATAACATTGCCTTGTTCGATTAACTATTCAGCAGCGCTATCTGCTGTTTTAAAGTGTAAAGTAACGAGTTTAAATCAGGTCTGCATCTTAGGAAATAACCAGTTTGGCAGAAGATACATGTACACGTAGATAGATAAACATTTCTTCCTTTTTCATATGGAGAACAAGGTTAATACAATTTTTTTATATAAATTAACGTTTTCGAAGTTTATTTACAAAACTTCTTTATTAATGTTCCTTGAGAAATATTTAGACATTGTATAATGTTTTTAAAAACGTTAATTTAACCGTTTTATGAGCAATTTCGCGCTGATAGACGGGTAGATAATTTTGAGACAGTAAACTTAAGTTTTATTTTTTAAAAGCCTGTTTAACGCTGTAGACTAGTAAGTGGCAAAAGAATCTGAGAAGGCTAAGAACAGTAGAAAAATAGACACAGGCGTATTTTCTAGGCGATATACACAGACGAGATCAACTACTGAAACCGAGCATTAAAATGAAGATTTTAAATTAAAATAAAAAAGTTAGGTAACTATGTGTTAAGCAACGCGAAGTTACAACTTGAGAAGTGTATATCATAAATTATTATTTCATTTATATAGTCTATTAAACATTTGTTTTAGCGCAAGGCTACTCAGTGGGATATTTGCGATGTGTCTGCCACGGAGATCGAGCTACCAACTCTAACGTTATAAGACCTCAGGAGGTACCGCTGAGCCAGTGGGAAGGACATTTATATAGTTAATTGACTGGTTAATAAACTGAAAAATCTTAGCGTATTTGGTGAATTATCAGTGTTAACCGGAACACTGACCTTCTGTGACGAGTGCAAAAGGTTGTTGTGTAAATATTAATTGTTCATGCTGCTATTCACTGCTACTGGTTTTGTATGTAAATAACGTGTTCATACTGTCTCAGTTTTTATAGATGGTATATATATTGTTTTGGACTAGTGACCTCAGTGAATGTTCCTTAGAGACGTATGTACGAATTATATTCGTGAGAAAGTGTGATGTTAAACATAAAATATAATCACCTACGGTGGCAGAATGTAATGATGTGATACTAGCTACAAAAGGAAAAAAACAAACTTGGATGGTATTAAGGATAACTCTCTCCCTTTTTCCAGTCTGAAGTTTCTTGTATTGGTTACATGTTTTAAATACGCGAAAGGACTTAATTCGTTATTTGCTCGCTTTCCAATATTTTAAAGTTCAAATAGTTTCGAATAAAACAGTATAATTACTATTTCCAGCGAAGTATGACAAAGAGTAATGTTAATAAGATAGTAAGTTAACTCAAACAGTATCTGAGGATCTCTTCGGATGCAACACAAACTTGCACACAATCTAACAAAAACTTTACCAGTGCGTAAAAATTTACCATTCATACAGTGTGTAAACATTTACCATTCATACAGTGTGTAAAATTTACCATTCATACAGTGTGTATATATATATATATATATATATAACGTATATCAAGACCTTATTTACACTTAATGAAAACTGGTTAGTTTCTATAACGATGATTTCTGCGGCTTGCTCACGGCAACTGATCTATTTTTACATCTCCATTAGGTCTGCTGGTAAACCAGAGCCAGCTATCGTGTTTTGAGACTTGCTGATAATCATGCTTCAGTGGTTAGTAAAGCATGTAGAGGATAACTGTTCTAATTTGTAAAAATATCCGTTGAAGGATCGTGCCACCCTGTACCACCATCACGTTGTTACCAAGCAGCTTCAGGTTTGTGTGAAGGAAACTGCCTCCTGGCTATTTATCAGCGAGTGTTTTTTTTTTTTACTAACGTGATTAGAAATACAAAATGGAATACCGAGGCTTTCATTCCTCAGTGATGATAGCTGTACTGGAAGACTATGTATAAAATAGGTTATGTGTCACATTTCATTTTTCTGAGGTCGATAACGGTGGTTAGTTAGACGATAACTCTCCTGGAGTTTACAGCGGTGTTTATATTGTCTGTAACTCTCCTAGAATCTATAGAGGTTTTAATATAATCGAAAACTCTCCTGGAGTCTATGGATGTATTTATATAGTCGATAAATCTCCTGGAGTCTACAGTGGTATTTATATAGCCTGTAACTCTCCTGGGTCTACAGTGGTGTTTATATAGTCGATAACTTACCTGGAGTCTATAGTGGTGTTTATATAGTCGATAACTCACCTGGAGTCTATAGTGGTGTTTATATAGTCGATAACTCACCTGGAGTCTATAATGGTGTTTATATAGTCTGTAACTTTTCTGGACTCTATAGAAGTGTTTATACAGTCTGTAATTCTCCTGGACTCTACAGGGGTGTTTATATAGTCTGTAACTTTTCTGGACTCTATAGAGGTGTTTATACAGTCTGTAATTTTCCTGGACTCTACAGGGTTGTTTATATAGGTGATAGCTGTAGTTAAGTTTACGGTGGTGGTTACATAGTCAATAATTCTGCCGGAATCTATAGTGGTTTCATAGTGGTGATAACCTGATTCTTTGCTTTAAAGGATGACATTTTACAAGTATGATCGCATAGCTAATACAGACAATTGTGCCCACTATCCCACAATGTGTTGTCCTTACGAATTTTGTAACACTTGAACTATTTTACCTCGTATTTCTCGAGCACGATGTTGATGTAAAAATGTTATTAACTTTAATCACATCTTACATGAGATAAGTTTGGTGTTCTTTAAGTGGGATAATCTTTGGTCAATTGTATTTTCATGGAATCATAACCCTATTAAAAGTTAATTGCGTCAATCAGAAATAAACAGGTGGCACTTAGTTATTCGAATTTACATTTCTAACGCTGATAATCAGTTATTTTGGAAGTGTTGAGAGATATTGGTTCAAAAATTCCATGTTACTTATAAACAGTATATTTCTTATTTGACGTCATTCATAATTTTTTCAGACAAAAAAAAACAAAAACTCATAAGAAAGTGAAAATAGAGTCGAAGTGCGATAATCGCCATATTAAAAGCAAAGTTGAATTCACGATGAATCACAGAAACTTGGGAACGTTTTTCTAACAAAGTCTCAAAATAGTCTGAGAAAAGAAGTGGACGAAGAATCTCGTTTGGAGACTGCATTCCTGAAAATTGGATGTTTGTGTAGACAATGCGCAGCAGGTTCGAAGTATCTTCTCGAAGTGTACAAGTCGCAGGCCCTGTTCGGGGATACAACCCCTCTTTCTTGAAGTGGAAAACATGGGGACAACCAGCAAAGCCGTCTCAATATTTGGTATGCTATTACTGTTACTATTTCAAACATTTTCGTTCTTCATAAAAGTTAAATAACGAAGACTTACATAATTTTCTATATTCATGATCATGAAAATTATAAGGAATTGGAATATTGAATTTTTAAAGTTCGTTTTGCGAGATTACGAATTTTTATCCTATGCTATGAGACGTAAGACCGCAATCTGAAACTTATGGAACCGAGATTTAGTTGCTGAAAAGGCAAGAAATACAAAACTTACTACAGCTTTTGAGTCTAGAGGATTTTGAAGTTTCAGTGGAAACGTAAATTTTATCTTATGTGTCCATGAATGAAACATACAGTAGCGTTTATACTTTAAGAATGACTTCCAGCAAATCCCACGTAGCGCCAGAATCTTCCAGATGTGCGTAACTATTTCAGCACTTGAATAACAAGCTTCTTGATATTGACGTACATGTGCATACAGGATCACATACATGACAGTGAATTGCATCATTGTTGTATTTTTAGAAGTTGGACAGATCTCTTGCTTATCCCTGAGTCCAGCTTTACGTACTTATAGTTCGTGCTGCAATTTCATATGTTGATATTTGGAACTTTTTTTTTCTATTCTGAATTTGGACAACCGAACATTAGTTCAGGTCAGGGGTGAAATTCTCAACAAAAAAAAGAAAAAAATAGATGTACTCAGGTGGGTGAAATGGATCTGTTTTTGAAAAAGAAAAATATATACTGTGAACATAAAAAAAAGACAAAGCAGCTCAAATAAGTCCCGGTAGGAAGTCCTCATCATTTATGTATTTATGACTTACATTAGAGTACCTGTAGTTTATTTGTTACAATAACCTTTTCATGTTGATTGAAATGGGTATTTCTAATGGCCCATGCTCTCTGGTAATAAGTTAAATACACACTATACCATCACCAGATCAGTGATATTAAAATGGTAGTTGGAGTAAATCTGTTTAAATATGAAAAGCAGTTTTGTCATATATGAATTTAGAATTGTGTTGTTTCAAGTTGGGATTCTATTAAAAAATAAGTCCCGGTACTAATACCGGCAGAATTTTACCCCTGGTTCAGAGTATCGTATTTTGAATGATTTATGAAGCTTACACTTGGCGTTTTTGCATAGGAAGTGTTTATATCGTTGTTTTTTTTCTCTCTTTTGTGTATAGTGAGTCAGAATCTGTGCATAGAAACGTCCGTCTAATTTTGTTTCAAACATTTTAATTCACTATTTTCGAGAAGATTTAAAGTGTGATGTTTCAAGTTGTGAAGTCTGAGATGATTCATGTACACTAAACCTAAATATTTTTCTGTCAGTCACGAAATCTTAGGTTTTCTTCGTAATTCAATTAGATTTAGAGCAAGCACAATCATCGGATGATATTTTAAGAGAAATGCTAATCCTTACATTTCAATATTCAGTATATCGCTATGCTTTCTCCCTATGTTTCAGAATTGCACGTGATTTATATGTATACTTATTTGTGTGTGTATATAAATAATTATTTTAAATCCCACTTAGAAAGACCCTTGACCTAATTATGCACGTGATGTGGCTGCTACATTGTGGTCTTTTCCAAACATACCTAACTTTACTTTCAATTTAACAAATATATATTTATATAGTTATAAGATTCATAAATGTACACTTCTGGTGAATGTTTTAGGAACTTTAACTAATTTCCTGTGAGTGAAGTTTAATAAGCTGAGTATCTTATTAGAGTGAGAGAGAGAGAGAGATAATGACGTAATTATTATCGAGTTGTATCGTTGAAGATATAAGTTTACGGTAATGATACAGATTAACATGCAATTACATAAATAGTAAGAAAAGTGAAACTTAAATATTATAAAAATATGCTTATTTCGTGCACTTATACTTGCTGAAAATTTCAAACAGTAGTGTGTGGGCGTGGTAGACTTAACTTTGGATAAAGCTTTTGTTGAAAATAATTTAGAAATTAGCCAAAATGCATAACTCTAGTTTACAGCTGCTAATTGTTTAATGTTTAATATTGACAGCTGGCATTGAATGTTTTAGATAGAATGTCATTTTGTGTACATAGAAATATGTATATATATTTCATCCAAGCTTTTAAATTGATTTCTTGTGCATAATCTTTTGCAACCATGTTGAAAATCCAAAACGTATAACTGTCTCAGAAGACATTTATTATTAATATTTCAGTTATTATTATGAAAATCGTATTTATAACACCAACAAATGTTTAACCCAAGTCAATGTTAACTGAAAGCCATAGCTTCCCAAACCGAGTTAGTTATGATAACCACATAATTCAAATAATTTTACAATGATTTGATTAGTTATTCTACTTGTTTCTTTTCATTTTTCAAGAATGTTTTCATAATGGCTAAAAAAAAAGTTAGTTGGGCTCACAAATTAACTAAGGTATTTATTTAGCTTCACAAACTGGTGGTATTTTAAATTTTAGCTAATTGAGTTATTCATTGTGATTCCTGAGCTAAAAAAAACGAGTTAGTTTTGGCGAAACTAGATTCTCTAAACTAAAAGAATTAACTTAGTTTTACCACTAATAAAATCGTCACGTTTAGTTTAAAGGAGCCAACTATTTTAGCTTCTGAATTAACAAAACCGTGAAGTTTAAGGTAAAGAAACTAGCCAACTAATTTCTCAACTAACAGAATCGTGACATTTAAGCCAACGAAATCAGGTAGTCATAATCTTAATTTATAAAAATCGTGTTGTGTAAATTAAAGTTGCCACTTAGCTGCAGGTTCTCGATTTATAAAACCGGAAAGTTTGAGTTAGAGGAGCCAACCAACTAGTTTCTCAACTAACAAAATATTGGCTTTCAAGATAAATGACGCTTATCAACTGCATATAACATGACATTTAATTAAAATACCCATAGCTTACTTAAATTCTTCCCGATATTTCGTTTCCAAGGTGAAAGTCTACATACTTAATTGTCTTGCAATGAGTATTTAGTTTTGTGTTCTTTACTCAGTGAGTATAGGACTTGTGTTTCACAGGAACGCTGTTGTATATGATATAAAAAAATAACAATATACGATAAAAATGTGCATAAGAAGCGATAAGGCAATGAGTTTAAATGTGTGTACAAAAAAAAAGTATGTTCAAATTTAAATTCAGAAGCGTTCGTGTTTTGTTTTTGTGCATGGGAAAATGGAAACGAGGCCAAAAGTACTGTACTGGATGTCTTATTTACTCTGGCCCGGCATGGCCAGGTGGTTAGGGCGCTCGACTCGCAATCCGAGGGTCGCGGGTTCGACTTCCCATCCCACCAAACATGCTCGCCCTTTCAGCCGTGGGGGAGTTATAATAATGTTTTAGTTACTTATATTTGCGGTGAACTTCGAGCTGTAACAGCTACTGTGACAGATTAACTGCTAATATTAAAATATTTCTTCTGCAATTATTTCCAGCTCTATTGATAACCAAACTGTTTTCTTTGCATTACGTACGTGATGTGATAGCATGACATACCTCCTACGCGATCAATGGCTTTTGTCCAATCTGAAGGTATTTGTTTAAAATAAAATCATTTGTGTTTCCGACAGCCTATTCAGATCTGTTGCTCTATATGGTAATTACAAGAAACAGTTTGTATTTGAATCACATTTACAGTACGCTTGTATACTCTTGGAATTATTTTTCACTCCTGAGAAGCCATTCTTTATTGGTCAATCAAGTACTGTATATGATTTGAACAAATGACCAAAATTACTAGTTTTGAAATCATTACGTAATTATTTGCACTTCAATCAAGTATTGACTGCATCTATTATGTCTCCGCAGAGAGACATACTCTTTTTCCATTGTTTTTTCTTCTTCCAAAACCTTTTCAATCGACCGCTATTCCTTCATTTCTTGGCGGGTTGACTTGAAACTTGGTAGGGTTCTGCCTTGGTCCAATACGCCTAAACACCTTTTTTAAGACCTTTTTAAAGATTTTATTGGATCAAAGATCAAACAACACAAAAAATGTAGAATTGATAAATTAGTTTGTTATGGTAATCTCCAAAGTCACAGATGAACAAATTTAGAACATTCTGAAGTTAGAATCTTTAAGTAACTTGTTTTGTGTTGCTTGTGGTTTCAATTAAGACAGATAAATTACTTGTATTTCTTCATTTTTAATCGCCGTAACTTTCAAAACGATTGGCTTAAGCCTTCAACATTGACTATAAGACTGTTTGCCAAATATAAAGAAGTCAATCAAGTAGGTTTGATAACAGGATATCACATGTTTTGATCGGGTAACTACTTGTTAACTAATGTTAAAAGGTTTACATATTTCATAAAAATTGCATACGTGTACTTTTTAAGCGTTCAAAAGAAAGCTAAATAACCTTAATATTAAACTTATCAGCTATCTTGAATTGTTTCTTGTTTTCCCTCTTTTTTTTGACTAGTTATCGTCTAACTTCATATCTGTAGAATCCTATAGCTCATACTAATATAAAAAATATATATAACATGTCGATATATTTTACCAAAAACTGGGGTTAATTAGAGGTATATGAAGATATAATTGGCAACTAAAGCACCAAGTGCACTTGAAAACAAGAACACGAGAGTGGTAGTGTTGGCTAAGTTTCAGTTTTAGTTTAATAACTTATGCCTTTATTCAACTATTGTACTAATTCCCGTGAACGATGTCAACAAATGCTGTAAGTAATGGAATATTAAAAACTTATGCCTTTATTCAACTATTGTACTAATTCCCGTGAACGATGTCAACAAATGCTGTAAGTAATGGAATATTAAAAACTTGTGTCAGTTTCTTAGATTTTCACTCTTCTACAGAATGTGGACCCAGAGCAAATATTCACCAAACAGGAGAAGATTGGAAAGGGTAACTTTGGGGAAGTCTTTAAAGGAGTTGAAAACAACACCCAGAAGGTGGTAGCCATCAAAATTATTGATCTAGAAGAGGCGGAAGATGAGATTGAAGACATTCAACAGGAGATTATGGTGCTATCCCAATGCGATAGTCCCTTCGTTACGAAATATTACGGTTCCTATCTCAAGGTAAGTCACGAAATATCATGGATGCTTCCTCAAGGCAAGTGACTACAACTTACAGTTCTTACTGCACGGTAATTCACGGCGTATTACAGCTTTTATCTTAAGGTAAATCACGAAATATTATGGATGTTTCCTCAAGGCAAGTCACTAAAAATTACAGTTCTTGCTACAGGGTAATTCACAGCGTATTACAGATTTTATCTTAAGGTAAGTCACCAAATATTATGGATGTTTCCTCAAGACAAGTCAACAAGAATTACAGTTCTTACTACACGGTAATTCACAGCGTATTACAGATTTTATCTTAAGGTAAGTCAGGAAATATCACGGATGCTTTCTCAAGGCAAGTCCATGGTGTATTACAACTCTTAGTACTTAGCATTATAAAACTTTGACGTAAATTGAACAACGGAATGGTGTGGCACTTTCATTAATACGTCAACCATATATTTTTTTGGGTTCTACAGCTTCATCTTTCAGACCTCACTCATTAAAATGTTTAATTACGTCTTACATAGTAAGGGATCATTGCTTGCTTTGTCTTAAGACCAGCTCAGCCGAGAATTGCAGACTCTATCTTACTCCACCTCACAAGAAAGAAATATTGTGGGTCCTGGCATAGAGGGGATCACAACGAGTTTGATAATGTACCTGCAGAAGTCATAGATCACTTCAGAGAAGTCTTGAACTAATACGGGATCCCGTGTCAAAATAACTCGCGAAATTGTACGGATACCTCGTTAAGATAAGTTATAAACGTACGATTTCATATCTAAAGACGAACCTTGTTTCTGATTTTGCCTCGATATAGTTATTTTTACTTTACTAGAAGCATAGGTCTTCGCACTTGCTCCTCCCACCCACCCCTTGAAAAATGAGAAGCATAATTATTTCTCTATTCATTCAGCATGTGTATATGAACTTTGTATTCAATTTACAATTTCACAATACTTTGCCCCTCCCTGGAAAAATTTCTGCGGACGCCCATGACTAGAAGCATTGATAGTCGAAACCCGTTACGATTAAGCAGGGTTAGCGTTGGTTCGTATTAGGTTTTATGAGCTGAAAGTGAGTATAAGTCTAATGATTTATCAATTTCTGTCTCATTTTAGCACCTTATATGATTAGGATGTATTATAGATTTCTAAGGTATGTATGAACGTTTTATAATCATTTGTCCACAAAAGCATGTTTAAAACTAATATAAACACTTTCTCGTGTTGTCGGGGTGGGTTATTCCTCCGAAAGGGGACCGAAGGCCGCCTGGAAGGGTTACCTGTTTTAATCACTCGCACTACTATGCAGTAGTATGTCGTCTGTCTGTCAGTCAGTAGACACAAACATGACGTCACATAAAGGACGCTTAATGTTGCAAATTGTACTGTCATGACGTCAGTAAAACGTGCGCATGCCGTGAATTACGAGAAGAATTATATGCACTCTGTAGGCTACAACACAACATGCCAAATGAAATTCAAAAGCAAGAAATAATAATATTTGTTACTCTTAATTTTGGTTTTATTCACTCTTGAAACAGAGCACTTTCGGGGATCCTGCGAAAGTGCATCTAGTACCATGGATGCCCATGATGCTACTAAAGATCGTATAACTAACTATCGTACTTCCCTTTCATTTCGCTTGAAGAAGGACGACGTTCAACTTTAACGTCACTTATACCACAGCCTTCTTGGACTACAAGGAAACATTAATTCCACGAGTAGTTATATCTATTTGTAGCTAACAGCAAAGCCATTATCCTTAACACAACCATACTGTGTTCAAACATGATGAACAGCCAGTTTCTCAGTTTCTTAGTAGAATGTGAGTAGGCAGTACCATAACATGCAAGAGTCGCACAGTAAAATCAGTTTTGGTCTGGATATATCCTACTGTGTTCATTTACACTGTGGAGACAAAATACGCTTGAGAAGGTTGTGGCTCTTTGTTCATACGTACATAATCCTAACCAGTTCGATACGGTACGATATGGTGCTTCAATCAAAGGATTGAAATGACGGTATGTCTACCTTGTATCATACAATAAGCCGCAAAATAGTTATTAAAAAGGGATTTACATGCGTATGACTGTGACGTATAAACTAATGATTAGTTACTATCCGGTTTATTTCTAAAACTTACATGAATAATTACTTCAACGTAAGTTGTTCATCATTGAGTTCCGGTCCTCACAAGTACAGTTTTTCTGGTATTTTTAAATAGATATGTGTGTGTTCATGCATATATGTATATATGCATGGACACATATCTAACAAAGATGCACCATGAACAGAAACGAACCTCCCCCCTCGTCCAAGAAAATCCTATAGACGCCCGAGATGGTGCAAAAGGTCAAAGGCAAGAAAAAAATGGACCGGCAATCATTTCAGTACATAATTAGTTCATGAAAATATCTTTAACAAAAGAAGATGGGTTAAGCCTCAACAGGAATTCTAGGGTTAAAATGAATTGAGACATAAGATTCAATATTTTTTTTTGACACTAAATGAAGAGGTATCTTTTAACTTTTGTATAAACTCTATAACCCAATTTTAACACAGACGTGACTGTCATTATGAGCTAACTCAACTATCTACAGTGTACGCTTTCAAGATAAAAACGTGTGCTTATAACCTAAATAGGGACTGTTTCATTGATGTATGTTAAACAATATCCACTGTTTAAACTATTATTAATGTGTACCAAACAATACTCACTGTTAAAACTATTACTGATGTATGCTAAACAATACTCACTATTAAAACTATTACTGATGTATGCCAAACAATACATTTCTTGTAATAGCAAATTTATAACATAATATTTTTCAATAGTTAAAACGATTCAGGTCAGTAGTTTTGAGATTATTTTTATAATATCATTTATTTATATATGTTGGTATTATAAGATAATAAATAATTAAACCTTTAACTAATTAGCATATAGAACCTTTTCAACATGTTTTTATCCTCAATATACAAAACCTTATATAATAGAACCACGCATGAAATTCTTATTTACAACAGCAAAACAGCTATCAACAAATTACTGGTAGTATTTTATTGTGTTGTACACTCGCAGTTTCAAAGTAGCACCATTAAATAATACTCCGTTGTTTCAAACAAATGTGACTGTCACCTTTAAAAAATACTTCAAATTTTAGTTTGTGTAACATTACCTCACGATATGATTAATAATATTTTTTTACAAATCTTTCTATACTGGAGCTAAACTACAGGTTTATCTGTAAGAAAAATGTAATAATATCTCAACTACACACCTTGTGTTCCGTATGCTACTGCCTACGGAGCCTTTCGCTCAATACCAGAGCTCATCATATCGATCGGGGATGCAACACATAAAGTCTCGATTGAAATGCTATTTATATCAGTGATTTACAAGATATCAATTATTATGGTACATAACGCCTTATGCTGTGGAAGCGTGATCTATTGATCAAGATGCTATTAATTTCTTCTTATTGATAAACCTGTAATATCAAACAGACTACCGAACTTTAGATCGAGTTCGTTAGCATAAGATGTTATATACTACAATAAAATTCTATTACTTTAAACACACGTAACTATCACCATTAAACAGTGTTTATTACTTTAAACACACGTGATTCTTCATTCTTAAGACTATTTTATTGTCCTAAAACACTTAATTGTTACCATTAAATAATGCTTTATGTTTAAAACACACAGAATATATTTGTAACTGTCATGATAAAAAAAAAATTGTTTATGGTTTTAAGAACATGTAAATATCTACCATAATATGCCTTATTATTTTAATCTCTTATTAATTATATATATTTTAAATTACTTTTCCATCCCAATTGAGGCGTGCGTTAGCCCTGTGATTAAGTTCTAGATTTCGGAGCTAGCGAGACGGTTTTGAATCCGTACGATATCACTTCATAGCGTGGATGGTGGGTAGTGTGGTACTGCTGATTGGTTCCCTCCCTCTGGTCAACAGTCAAAATTAGGGACGGCGACAGATTTTCTTAGTAGTTTTCTATGATACAAAGAAAAAAATATAAACATAACAAAAAAAAATGCATCTCAGTTACGTTTCTTTTATAACGCGTAGCACACTACAAGAACCATTTAGGGCACTTGGTTGTGTATTTGACAAAAACAAAATCATTATTCTGCCTGAAGTTAAGTTTGAACATTAAGAAATTATCTTTCTCCTCTTGTCCTCGTTACACGTCCTCACAATCAAGTTATCCGTCCGTGCTTATCCAGTAGTGAGATTTGTTTTGTAGAGGACATTCACCTCTTTATATTTTATTCATATAAAGTTTAAATTATTCGCTTTTCACGAAATCAGTGATAATATCAGTAGGATGTTTTTTTTAATAGTCCAGTAAAAACATATGCCACAGTTGTCATGGGTGCATTTTTAGGCTACCAGTAAACGCGGAAGAATATCTTGATCAAAACATGTTTTGAATTCAGAAAGTTGATTAATTTTTTTTTCAAAGTTTAACATGTGAATGATTTTTTTTACTAGTTTTTGATACTCAGTTTAAGTAGACGTACTTTGGTTTCTAAGAATGAAAAGTCTAGCGATGACAATTAAGTTAGAGGAGTAAAGTGTTGTTAGCATTTTGTTTTCAGGGGGTTTATGGCACTGTTTCTCATAGGTTTCTAAAAGTTTAAAGTATTTGATATTTTCAAGATCTTGAAAATACCAAACATCATTAAACCTTTACAATTTGATCAGATGATTTTGCGAAAGAGTAAATATAACATCTGAGATCCTACCTTATAAACACTTCTCTTTATCTTGAAAATACCAAACATCATTAAACCTTTACAATTTGATCAGATGATTTTGCGAAAGAGTAAATATAACATCTGAGATCCTACCTTATAAACACTTCTCTTTAGAGGTGTATTAAAAGTAAAAAAACAAAAACAAAACACACATACACACAAAAAGGACATTGTTTGGCATAATGAAAAATAAAAATACTGTCAGTTGTTTCAGCTAATTGGTTTTGGTAATACGGTTAACATTATAAGCACTGATGATGGTAACCGTATTACCGAAGCAAGTTTTCTGAAACAACTAATAAATACTTTATCTTTCCTTATGCCAGGACATTTCGTGTTAGTTTTCTTTACTATTAACTTACAGCAGCACGATGTGACCAAAGAAAAGTGTTTATAATCTATGATCACAGAGGTTAAATTTGTTTTTTCGTTAAACCACGTGGCTCGGTTGTAAAGGCTTAACGACAGAGTATTTGGTATTTTCAAGATAAAAAAGGAGTTTTTATAACGTAGGACTATGAAACTGAAGTTTTGAGTTATTCTTTCGTTAAATCATGTGGTTAAGTTATGTAGGCTTACCAATATAATGTTTTGTGTTTTCGAAAGAGGTTTTTAATCTAGAGTTTGAAAGATTAAAGTTTTGAGTTCTCTCATTAAAGCATCTACGAGGTGAGAAGTTATACTACCCACATGAAATGCTTTTGCAGTTAATTCTTTCTGTTTTATGAACTATTTTTTATTAGAATATTTTTTCAAAGTATAAGCAAAAGAAGCTGTCTCAATATACTTTGTGATTAAAAAGTAGTCCCAACAATCGTGAAACTGTCGTAACGAAAGTTTTATTGCGGATATGAGGGTGTTTATAGTGACCAAAGCCATAAAAGTTAAGAAAGAAAATAAAAAAGAGTGAACTGAAGAATTATCGACTGTTTGTAAATGCAGTTAGATTTTTTTTTGCATAGAAAAACATCTCTTGGAGGAATGTCTAATAAAACAATATAGGCAAAAGAAATTAATTAAACATCTGCATATTATCCACTCAAACTTTCATTGCTATAGCTTGGTTTGTATAGAAAAAATATATATGTACTTTTAATTGCGAATTTACATTAAGTCTGATATGCACTATTTACCCCTGTCTGTTAGCAATGAAGTGTTCCCATCCAAGCCCAGTTAATGTAGTTTGTGTACTATCTTATCCTATACGTAGGGGTGACAGGATTTATTAAAACATTTCACAATATTAGTTCTATATACGATGTTTTTGTGTGTTATTAAGCACAAAGCTACACAAAAGGCTATTTGTGCTCTGCCCACCACGGGTATCGAAACCTAATTCTTATTTATAGTATTATAGTAGTATATTTAGAAATATAAACGATATTCGTAAGATTTTTATAATATTAAACTGAAACTGTAATGCATTTATCTCTGTTGATTTTCAGAGTTTATAATTTTTTTTTAGAATATTGGACCTAACATATGTTTAAATAATAAATAATATTTATATATATCAATGTATGAATGTGTGTGCGGGTAAGTGTGTAGTAATGTGTATTATAATTCAAGTGTATGGCGTTTTAATATAAAAGAAAACTAATTAAACAATATTCTTGTATTCAATTAAATTATATTTAGACCAACAGATTTTTAAATATTTTTCTAAATAACCGATATATCATATTTTTTGTAGAGCCATGACTGATTATTACAGCCTTACCGGATCCATAATAACGTATGCGTCACTCATAAACTTTAAATAAAAATATTACACTTAAACCTACTAATTGTTGTTGGGATTTCCTGTGTATTTTACGTACAAATTGAACGACATCATTCAGTTTTTTGGGTCAGTTCTTTATACTGAGTATTGAGAGAGAAAAAAGAAATGAAATATGCAATAATGAACAAGTCCGTAATCTGAAGGACGGCTTGTTTTGTTTATTAAACTTACTTTCAAACGTTGTATACTTTAACAATAGGGTTTCAAGTTATGGATTGTTATGGAGTATCTAGGAGGGGGCTCGGCACTGGATCTGTTAAAGGCTGGAAAGATTGAAGAATGTTACATTGCCATCATCTTGCGAGAAGTCTTGAAAGGCTTAGACTACCTGCATTCGGAGCGTATACTTCATAGAGATATCAAGGGTAAGGTGCATTACCAACTTTGTTTTAACAATCGCTTACTAGTCTTAACAGAGCTACACAAGGGCTACCCGAGCTAGCCGTCCCTAATTTTGAACTGATAAACTAGAAGGAAGACAGCTAGTCAACAGCGCCCACTGCAAACACTTGGACTGCTTTGATGGAATAGAAGGACTTGGCCACCATTCTTATAGCACGTCCACGGCTATAAGAGCGGCAATGAGATGCGAACCACGGACCTTCATATTCACAGTCCGGCACGCTAACCATTAGGCCACGTCCAGCACACTCTGAACTAAGACCACGCCTAGGTTTATTCGAATACCTATAAATTTCAGTCTATAGTCTATACATATAACAATATTTTTAGAATAAACATAAATTAACGTTTATTGTTCGTACCAGTAAATAATATTCAGTAGAATAAACATATATTAACGTTTATTGTTCGTACCAGTAAATAATATTCAATAACCAGAGTTAACGCTGTTTCTGTTACATTTGCACTTTCGAGTTCAACCAATAGAATATGTTAAATGATCCACTGAGCTAAACTAGAAGAAAGAGAAACTACCGGATGACCAAACTTGTGATTACTTTATTCAACTGGACTAAATGACAGAGTTAAAAGAAAAGATAAACGTTTCTCACAATTGCTAACTTCCACTAATCCTTATTTCTATGAACGTCTTAAACTTTGTTCCTGAATTCACGATAAAAACAACAAGAACACACAACTGATAGGACTAAGATACCATTAAGCTTAATGGAGGAATTACTTCTAATACATATAACAAAAGGTCTCTGTACATTTTGTGTTGCAAAATGTTATAATCATTCAAATCAGTTTGAATTTAAACTTTACAGATATTAATAATCAATTTAAGTTAGCTATAACTTCTTACTTGTCAGCAGTCTTTCCAAATAAAACAGAAACATCTAACAAAGTAAAGACGAAGTATTCCTTTTGTTTTCTTTAATGACAAAAGCATAGAATCCATTAGTCAGGATAACTATCTACAAAAGTTACTACCTGCAACCTGTAGTAAGCTACAGTAACAGTAAATTCACTTTACAAATCCCATCTGGAATACAGTTTTTAAAGAAATAGGGTTAATGTTAAATAATGGCCAACACGCTTTTTCTCAGATTATGATAGTCTTAGTTCCCCTTACATCTAAACACCCACTCAAACATCTCATTTGTCGAAACCTTGGCATTGTACAAAATCAAAATTTAAGGCTTTTGATAGTAAGGGACCTACATTTCGCGAATATCAGAAAATTAAATGGAAATGCACTAAAATCGTTTTGATTCAATCACTTTAACGCTTAACATCAAATTGGAGTAAATCGAACAAACTGAGTACATTATCAACAATAAAATAAGTTTTTTGAAAACAAAATGTTACGCCTGATACTTTCACTCAAATACTTCAAAAAATAACAATAAATCTTGGAAATATTCACATGAAAATTATCATAGCACCAGCAGGTAAAGCAGTCAGTATCTTTGGTTTTATTTGCGAAAACTTCTATGTTATTACATTTTGTAAGAATCTTAATTATAATCTTCAAATAATTATGTTTATACTTATGTTAAAATCCATGCGAAAGGATAAGCATGTTCAATGTCAGGATTCGAATCCGCGATTCGGAGATTGCGAATAGATCGCCCTAACCATCAAACTGTGCCAGACCTGATTATTTACCTTAACAGTGATTTCATTTTTTTTGAAGAAAAATCTGAGCAATACTTCTATGTTTGTTAATAACAATTTCAACTTTTCAACGGCATTCTGAATCTCAATAATGATAATATCTGTTTTTTCAATAATCAGTCAAAGTAAATATTTTTACTTTTTTAGGAACCTCATTCACAGTGTTATATTATCTTAATGATTAGTGTTAACAGTGCTATGTTTTTCTCTCAATGATCATTATGAAGATGTTCATTTTTCAGTAAAATAGTGTTAACAATACTACTATATACATTTTTAGTAACCAGTATTTATAGTACTTCCTTTGAGTGACCAATGTTAACGACATTTAGTTTTCCCACTTCGCAGCGGCCAATATCTTGCTGTCTGAAAGAGGAGATGTAAAATTAGCAGACTTTGGCGTAGCAGGTCAGCTGACTAACACAGTCAAACGAACCACATTTGTTGGAACTCCGTTTTGGATGGCTCCAGAAGTTATCAAGCAATCTGCTTATGACAGCAAGGTTAGCTTCTTATTTCAACTTTTTATTTAATAAAGATCGCACCAAGTTTGGTTTGTTGGGAAAATGTACCAAAGTTCAAAACTATTATGTTCATGATGGTATTTAATTAAGTAACCCACAAGCAATACTTTCATAATATCAGGTTTTTATTTTATATCTTTTTAAATATGAAGATTTACGAAAATAGATAATGGCGAATCCGAGTCTGTCTGAACCAACTGAAAAATTGTATTAAGTTATTTCTACAAGGTAGCGCTTTAACTGACCGCCCTGGTGGCTCAGCGGTAAACGTGATGACTTTTAAACCTTAAATTCGAGGTTCGATCCCTAAGGCAGATAACCCTTTAAAATGTGCGAAATGAAAAGATTTAGTTCATAAAATCGGGGCCCGGCATGGCCAGGTGGTTAGGA